GTTTGTCGTGGTTACGCCTGATCAATTGGCTCGTGGATTTACTCGTAAGCGAGGTTGCGTCCTCGCTGGTGGCTCTTCTACTCTTCCTATTTCTCACCGCGTTAGAGCAGTGCGGTGTTATTTCCTGAATGAGATGTTCCGCGACATGAGGATGGCTGTCGCTCGCTCTATGGGGTACCAGAGCTTGAAGAACAAGATCCTGAAGCCTACGATTGGTGACCCAGTGCTGATCTACCATCCGGAAAAGAAGCTGAGCCCCGGATACCGTTTGGGTCATGTGAAGGATCTGCTAGATGAAGGTAGAAGGATCCGTATTGTCTTAACTGACGGTAGCGTTGTTGATCATCATCACTATAATGTTGTGCCGATTCTGCATCACCCTCAATTGTCGGGGCAGAGGGGGCGTATTGAGGATTGACGAGCCCGGTCTTGCTTTGTTCGTGCGTGCAGTCCTGTGTACGTGCGTGCCCCGCAATTGATGGTGTTTTTTCCCTGAGCCATTATATTAAATGACATTGATACGCTCAATCTCAGTTTCACAACCGTAAACTTGTCTACTCGTTGTTAATAAATCCTACTTATACGCTGGTGTTTATAAGCCATTCGAAAACACCCGAAATATCTACCATGAATAACTCTTCCTCCCTCTCTCCCCGCTCGGCCACCTGGTAGTAAGTTGGTTTGTTTAGAAGGTCGACCGTCGACCTTATAAACAAACCAACTTACCACGTCACGTACTCAGCACAAGGAGACCAACACTTGCCTGAGTTTGTTGGTTTTTTTGTGCCGAGCTCAGATGGTGGTGAAGACGCTACCTGAGCTATCGAGCCTCAGCTTTCCCGTTGATGTTTTTATAAGTATGATAGTATTCCATTAACCACTGATTTGATACACGTTTTACATGATGAATCACACGAGCTATAGATTGATCGATTCTATCCTGCGACGACTGGGGTACTAACGACTAGGAAATTGTTCTCCTATATTCATGAACCTCCACAATCGTCCCTATTGCACAATATCCTACAAGCTGTGCTAAAGCCTAGGCTAGCTACTATACTATGCTACTATAATTATAAAAGTGATGATAAGGTGCTCCATATTTTGATATTGTTTTCAGCCTATCACCTCTCACTCTTATTCTTATTATTATTATCTCGATCTTCAAGATTTGACGTTGAGATGGACAATGGAGAGTCTAGATCTACCACAGACCGGCCCAACGGAAATAGGAAGGGACAGCAACAGCCGTAGACTGTTGCCTTCTAACCCCACAGATCGAGGGAGAGCAGCGGTGGAGGTGCATGTCGTGGAATGGGCTATTACATTCATGGAATGCAAGTGACGACCACTTTCACTGACAATTGCCTTGAGTTCTCTACAGTTAAGAGAACTCCTATTAAGAGTCTTAATGGGCTGAAATAATCACATAGAAAATGTGAACAGAGTCATCAGCGGAGCCCCAGGTTTCGCCAACTCGCCAAACTTGGCGAAACTACTTTTCGCTTAGCCAAATCTAGATTTGGCAACGCAATGCGGTACAGACCCCTCCGTAGAGAAATTTTCACAAAAATTTTTCGCCAATGGCGCTTCGCCAAAATTTGAAATGCGCTCGCCCGTACGCGGCAGCCTGTCCCTTGTACCGAGTTATGTCAAGATGAAGTTGATGATTTTCGCTTACGTAACAGCAGTGGACGAGTTTTCTGGTCAACTCGGGCGAATCCTGCCCGAAGCAGATGAAATCCTCAGAAATAAGTAACGTATTTGAAATATGTTATTTCTGAAATACGTATCTGTAACTTACTGAAATATTTTTTATTTGAAAGAATATTTCAAATGAGCTATTGTAAATGATATAATGATGATAATAAACATCGCTCCGTTGGATACATCATTACACGATTCCACGCCTTGTCCTCACCGTCCGCCCGTTCAATAGACCGATTTTGAATTTGAGAAGCGTTCCTAGAAACGATTCTGGGATTTTCTGTTCATAGAACCAGCTCCGGAAACGATCCCAGAAACGTTTCCAGAAGTGGTTCTTAGCGCGTTCGAAGGAGCTTGTGCGCGATTCTGAGAGCGTTTCCAGAATCGCAGATTCCAGAACCAAGCCACCAAGCCAGCAGCCCTGAGAAGAATAGAGTTTGACAAGTGCCCGAACCCTTATGTGTTAACGTCGTGCGAAGACTTCGAAGAAGACATTCTGAAGATCCACATCGTCATTTCTGCATCCACGGATGGAGACAGTGATCGAAGGGCGTTGTGCAGTTGCAAAGGATTTGCAAATTGCAACCTCTCTCCGGTGCCATCACGCACTAGTGGTAGATCACTTACTAGGTATCATAACACTGCCAGCCAGAATTACTATTCCGCGCATGCGGCCCGGGCGTCCACACTCCAGTCAAAATATGGCAGCATTGCAGAGGCATCCCACAGACGTGGAGGTTGAGCAGGCCAACGAGATTGAGAAGGATCGGCTACTGGCGGATATTGCAACCTTGGCCGCCAGGGGGGAATTCGGAAAGAAGCAAGCGAAGAGAGAGGATGTAGCTCAAGGACGCTTAGAAGACTGCCAAGGTGAGTCTACGGAGAGAGTGTTGTCGCAGATGAAGCATTTTCCAGCAGATGATTCGAGAGAAGACAACTGCGAAGGAAAAAGCGTACCGCAAGGGAGTAGCGGAGACAGCAAAACATCGAAGAAACGCGGACGGAGCAGACTCGGTCACAGTCCAGGCGAAGGTGTTCAAAAATGAAGCGCGGAGAGGAATGAATGCGGAGTCTTTTCAGATGCAGACATGAAAAGAAGGAAAACCAGCCAACAAGCTGACGTCGGCGAGCGACCTAGACGGAATAGACCGCCGCCTGCACGCTACCTTGCGTAGTTGCCGTTAATTCATGCTATGAATTTACCAGTCGACTTGTAGAAAGAAGTCCTTTTCTTGTCTGATGTCGAGATCAGGCATCTATGAGTCTCTTACACATCTGGTGTCGCATGATTTTGCGACCAGACCAGTTTCTGGAGGAACAAAAGCCGCGTTTGGAGTTGGATGAGTTAGGGTGTTACGCACGCTAGAACGGGGTAACACTGTTACCCGAACCCAAACCGTGGAATTGCAGGTGAAAGCGGAGAAAGGGAAACCCGAAACCCCACCCGAAACCCGACGGGAAAACCAGAAACCCGAACTCTTATCCAAGGCCAAACCTGACCGCAAGTTCCCCAAAAAAAACAGGAATTGCAGGTGAAAGCGGAGCAAGGGAAACCCGAAACCCCACCCGAAACCCGACGGGAAAACCAGAAACCCGAACTCTTATCCAAGGCCAAGCTGAAACCTGAGGCCAAGCTATAATCCAAGGCCAAGTCGAAATACAGGTGAGGGCGCCAATTCTTTAGAAAAGAGGACTTTTAAGAGGGCGCGCGCTAAACTTCTTTAGAAAAAAGGCCAATTCTTTAGAAATGAGGATTTCCCCC